AACGATTGTAGTATCAGGCTGCAACATAACAAAATTGAAAAAAGTGAAGAGGGTCTGAATACTTTCTGAATGCACTGTATATTACAGGTTGTGATCACTTACCGACTGCAATTGAGACAGGCAACTCTGTCGCTAAGTAACATAGTCATAAAGTGACAAGTCACATGACCATGTCCAACTTACGACATCAGTTCTGGCTGCGGTCATTAAGCAAATCACTGTGGGTTGTTAAGCGCAACGTCACATGACTGCGATTTGTGACTGCCTGCCAGCTTCCCCATTGACTTTGCTTGTTGGAAGCCAGCTGTGAAGGTCGCAAATGGCGATCATGTGACTATGGGATAGTGTGACTATCATAAATACTCACCGGTTGCCAAGAGCCCAAATCGTGATTGCGTGACTGCAGGGATGCTTTGATGGCTGCATTTTTGAGGACCAGTCATAAGTCTCCTTGCCATCGTAACTTCAAATGGTCACTGAATGAGTGGTCTGTAAGCAAGGACTACCTGCAATTTGAATGGAATTGCATTCTTTTCCAGGCCTGACTTGCTGAGGGCTGATGGCATATCCAGCACTGAAGTGGCACCTAGCGGCTCTCCTCTCTCAGGGAGTCCCAAAATGACAACACTTAGTAGCAAGGGACGTTACCGCAGCAAACCACGCCATCGGCGAGGAAATAGCAAAGGCAGCTACAGTGATTTTACAGGAGTCTTAAAAAATCAGCCAGCACAGGATGACTTGGGTCAACCAACTCACCATCATCACCATCATTCCCATCATCATGATAATTACCTTCGACTTAACATACATGGACAAGATATAGCCAGTTGTGCTAACAACCTACGATATTTTGGTCCTGCTGCTGCCCTACGCAGCCCTCTTAGTAATCATGCCCAACGGAGAATGTCTGGCTCTAGCCCTGATCTTATCTCTGCTGCTATGGAAGCTGATTCAAGGAGAAATCTAGAGATAGAGAAAGATGGGGAGAGCAAAGCTGATCATTGGGAATGTTGTAAAACAGGCACCTATAGTCTCTGTCCACAATGCAGACTGGGAGAAAATGATGCAAATCAACAACAATCACTTGATCCAGAGCTGGAACAGCCTGCAAGACCATTGTATGATTCAGTGTATGCAAATATGGAGTTTCCTGCAAAGAATAAAGAAGGTGAATTCAGCAGCCACAGGTCAGTGTCTCCTCTTGGCTCTTCTCATCTAGCAAGCACTCCAGGACTGCTGGGTAAAACTCGATCCATTCCGAAGGTAAGGTCTTCAGAATTCTTGAAAGAATAAACTTGTTTACATTTTTTTCTGTTTTCTCATTCACACTGTTTTCTTAATCATACTGTTTCAAGGTTTTATAGTTTTTGCTGACTAGAACGAAATTTAGAGACTTTTCTTCCTGAAAATTGTATATTTATGAGGCTTACTTTTTAATTGGAATCTGCATATTTGCAAATATTTGGCAAATAACATTGCCTTTTGCTGCCCCACTAGAGTGGTGATGATTCTTCAGAAGAAGAAGAAGGAGAAGTAGATAGTGAAGTGGAATTTCCACGGAGACAGAGGTAGAACAACCCATTCTGACTTTTTCCTAATTATTTAATCAGCAATTCATTTAGGGAATGTTCATATGATTTAATTTCATTTCCACATAAAGAAAACTTTGCGTCTGACATTATTAGCTAGGTTTTTCATCCAAAGAGTTACTTGTCCATCTGTATACCAGAAACAAAGTATATAGGATATAAGGATAACATCATGGTCAAATGTGTGTATTATATTGGACCAAGGATGCCTGGCTAGTAAGAGGCAGATACAATACTACTTGCTTCTTTTAGCAGCAAACTGTTACATATCAGTGTTGCATACCACAGGACCTCACTGACCTCACTCATAAGCCCTGAAATATGACTAGTGGCGAATGGACATGAAAATAAAAATTACAGTTTAATACTATGTGCAAACTAACCACTATGAATAAATGTTCAGATGAGATCATGGGGAAAGATCTTTCTACCAGGCCTACCAATATGTACATGTATAAGCTACCCTAAGAAAAGGAACTGCTTGGAAAGTACTACTTTTTGGCATCAAAGGCTTATTACCTATAACTGCAAAGGCTTTCAAATTTATATTTGTATGGGATACCTTTCATTTTAAAGACAGTCTCGTATTAAAGAATAAAAATAATAAGAGACAAATGAAAAACAAGGAATGTTTATGTAAAATGTAGGACTTTGCCAGGCTGTTTTTTAAAAATTTCATAGCTTTTCTCTTGTAACTTGTTCTTTTGGTTTTTTCACTATACTTTCCTAAGTATTTTCAGAATATCACATACATTACAATGGATTTCATATCATAATTTTAGAAGGAGCGTGACAGTTAGGTGCAGTAGTACAAAACAAAGTTGTACATAATGGCTTACATTCAAAACATTCCAAACTTGAAATACTCTCTTTCCAGCTTCAATCATTTCAAGTCTGAAACATTGTTTTTGCTTGAAACAGGGCTGTTTTGAATCTGATGGTTGGAACAACGCATTTCAAACTTGAACTACAGAGATTCAGGCCCAAAGTATTTCAGGTTCAAAATGTTTTGGATGCTGTAGTAGAAAAGATAAACTTTACTTATATGTGCACAACTTTTTCCAGTCGAGGACCACACTTGGCCTTTGAGTTACCTGTGGTTGGCCACACTCCAAAAAGTATGATTTGATTTGCATTTAAACATAATTATTTATCTATTATTTTAAAAGTTTTGTATGGCCATCCATCTTAAAACAACTCTGGGCAGTTCACAGCAATAAAACTATAAAAACATATAAAAACTAAAAACCTGGCTCCTCAGTCCACCTCCCAGGGTGCCCCAACAACTCTCTGTAGGGTCCACTACTCTATTCCAGTGCTTGGATAAAGAGCCAGGTTTTAAAGGCCTTCCAGAAGGCTAAAAGGATGGGGGCCTGCTGGATTGCTGGGGGGAGTGTATTCCATAAGGTAGCAGCAGCCACATAAAAGGCACGCTTCCTAGGTCTCACTAGATGGCAGTGTTTCAGGGAAAGGACCAGGAGCGTGCACATCCTATCTGATTTAGTGGGACGGGCAGATATCCTCAGGGAAATCAAAGATAATTCTGGTGGTTATTCTCCCGGCATCTATTTGATAGTTATTGCTTTTTTTCACATTAACAGTTATAATTTGGTAATTTTGAGAGTCCTGTAGGGTATGCATTCAAAGGTTTTATGGGATGTATGTGGACCTGTGGCCCCAGGTTCTGCACTTTCAGTTTAAATAATCTTTAGCAGATACTAAGAATTATTGTATCTGCTGTTAATGTTCTGTCTCTTAATGGAAGAGTATAGAGCTGGATATGACAAAATTTGGAGGAAGAAGGTAAATGAATTTTGGGAGATGAAAAATGACTTTAGGAGATTATGGGTATTAATATATCCAGGTTTCTGCAACAGAAAATAACATCAGGTAGGTGAAAATTGTTATCTAAATACCAATCTGGATATAAAGTTTAGAGCAGGTTATGATTAAGCTTCATCCATATCAAAATATATACATGTATAGCATGTAATAATGAGAATGGAGAACATAGTAAGTTCTGTGATTAATTCGGGCCTAGATATGACAAAGTTTTCTTTGTCAAGATAGTGAATACATTGATTCTAAGGGAGTGGACTCTGTATTGGGGAAAAATGGACAAAAGAAGCAAAAGTTACTGATTTGTAAAAGTTACAAAACATGTATTGTTACCTGATACATTGTTTTTGTGCATTTGATGTGTATATATCAGAAAATTCTTTGCATATACTACAAAACTTCAGGCTAATGTGTTCAAAGGTTTTGTGTCATGGGACTCATTTCAACATAAAGAAAAACCCTCTTTTATGGCATGTTGAACATCCCATAAATTTGAATGATTTCTGAGACAAAGGTAATATAAAAAATGAAAGTTCAGATTTATTATCCTAAAGTCTTTAGGAATAATGATTAACTTATTATTTTACTGACATATAAAGTGGTAATTATTTTTCACTGCAGTCATTTGATAAAGCTGTTGCTTCTAAAATTAGTTGACTTAATGAAGTTTCCTGACCGTTGTCTCTCCATTGCCCTTCCTGATCCTTTGAGCTCAACTGAGCAATGTGGAATGGCACCTGTGGATGGGAGAATTGTGCAAAATTGGATATATAGCCATTTGATTTTAGTATTCTCTCCTTCCCAGATCTCCCCCCTTTCCTCATAGTTTAGGAGGATCTCTGAAAATGATTTTCAGGGGTGCAGCTGGCTGCAGGTCAAAGAAGATATGGGCAGTTTTCCTTTGTGAACTTCTTTAGATTTATTTACCTTAAACCTTATCTTTGTCAATTCTGTATCATACCAGTAAGAATAAAGAGTGTATTTTGCTGTAGGATAGTTTCCAACTTATTTAGAATATTTCACAATTATTAAAAAATGGGAGTAAGACTGTTATGAAACAGAATGTGCATTCTTCAAGAAAAGGAAGAGCTGTAATTAATTAAATTTTTATGCATAATAGTTTTGAAATTATATATAATATGTATTTTTTCAGAATGTCAAATTTGGCCTTGTACTTGCCATTTGATCTGCATATATATAAAATCAATTGTGTGCAGCCTTTGAATCAAAGCTAACTAATACGTTATGGATTTGCAGGCCACATCGTTGCATTAGTAGTTGCCAGTCCTATTCAACCTTTAGCTCCGAGAACCTCTCTGTATCTGATGGGGAAGAGGGCAATACCAGTGACCATTCTAACAGTCTGGATGAGCTGGCTAATAGGCGGGAAGATCAGTTGGCTGAGAAGTTCGACGACATGCTGTCACAGACTCCAGAAATTCCCATTGAGATATCTACCCAGTCTGATGGACTTTCAGATAAGGAGAGTGCTGTACGCAGGGTGAAAACACAGATGTCACTTGGCAAATTGTGTCCAGAGGATCATGGTTATGAGGTTAGAAACACTGTCTCTTCTCTGTTTAGGAATATTAAACATTATTTAATTGTTCTGAAATCAGGTCTGCCAACCAGTTAAGGCTGGGGTGACCTATATGTACTCCTGAAATGAATTTTTTATAATCTGTCACCATTAACCATACTTGCTATAGCTTATGGGAGATAGAGTTCAGCAACATCTGGAAAACTCCAGGTTCCCTGTGTTTAAATAAATAATTTTACTTGATCACCTACCTGCCTCTTAAATGATTTTATTAATGTCTTGGCTTAGATCCTAAAATAAACTAACCTTAGGAAGTTCATAGAAGTAACTTTCCCCATTCCCTGCAGTCATTTGCAGCATGTAAAAAGCTTTTCCAGATGATCAGAGGGTTTTTTGAACATTATTGGATAGAAAGCAGGGGGATAATGGGGGAAACAGGAAATAAATTTTTGATTTCTTGATTTTATAAACTTTATTACATTTCAATAAAGAATAAAATATAAGAAAATTAAGAGAGAAAAGAAGACAAAGAGAGAAAAGATCAGAAAAGAAATACAAGAAGAGAAAAAATAGGAAAAGAAAAAAAAGAGGTAACTTCCAACTTTCTTTGGCTTAGGCATAGATATATAATACATTCACCTCTTGCTCTAATGTTTAAAATGATACAAAATAAATCTATCTCAATAAAAGATATTAGAAAAACTAATACAAAGTATTTTTGTAATTCTAAAATATATCAGTTATCAAAATGTTGATTTCTATGACTTAGTTATCACAGGATCCAAGCCTGATTATGGGCCAGTCTTCTTTATCCTTACAGCCTCTCTCTTAAACCCACAATGCTCAGGACTGACTTTCCAGGGTGGCTATTACCAGACACCCATGACTACACTGGTGAGGTGGGGATGAAAAACTTCCTTTTAGTGAACTTCCTCAACTTATCTGCCTTAGGATCCAAATCATTACATTTAAACAGATTTTATATTACTAAACTTTCCTTGAAGGGTTTTAATCTCTTGAAGGAATTGTAAACTATCAGTTAGTTTAAAAATAATCTTTCTATTAAGATACCTAAATCAAATAGTTTGGGTAATTAATAATTTAATTTTTCGGGAAAACAAATCCAATACAAAAATATATAGAAAAAAATAATAAACATAATTATGAAGATAAAAAGCCAGCAGGATGGGGAGGTTAGCATATTTGTGGCACTGACTGGCAATGTAACAACTTAATAGAAATTCTGGAAATATTGTATTGTTAAGCAACTGATGGCCTAGCACTGATTGTTTGATCAGAGTCACAGATAGTTAAGTGTTAGGTGCATAGTGAAATATCTGCCTAATGTGAAGGTTACAAATATTAAATGTTGTCTAAATAACCCAGTAGTACTGAGGTAGAGACTGTATTCATGGTGCACAACAGCAATAATGATATGGGGAAATCACTTATTCAAAATAATTATATACCACTGCCTAAAATTTAAAAGCAAAAGAAGCTGTCTAAGAAGCTTGAAACTGGGAAGTTACATGCAGGGTTACCTAGATATGGGAAGTGGAGACGTATCAAGTAGATGTGATTCTAGTGCAAGAAGAAAGACTGTAGATTTATATAAGGCTATACAAATAGATGGACTTTATATAGTCAAAACAAAGCCATATTGTTGGGACAACATAAAAAAGTTGGCAGAATCATATTTGCTTTTAAAAATTTGAGAGAAAGCCAGTGTAGGAGTGTTGAGGTAGAAAAAGAGCAGTCATTTTTGATTAGCCAAGAGGAGATGGAGTAGAAATAGGCTGAGACCATAGTAAACATGATTTCCATTGAAAAAGGTCAGAGGACCATAGCAGTAATTGCATATGATAGAGGTGCATACACACCATGTATGTGTATGCTGATGCTAGAAACCTCTCAGTCAACATGGGAGAATTGGAGGCCTTAGTGTTAAGAAAGAACATAGTTATAGTAAGCATATTATAAACCTGATGGAATGGAAAGAACCAATGAAATGTGGTCTACATTTTCTACTCTATAGGAAGAATATGAAATGTGTCATGGAGCATTAACATGCTTTTTAATACTATTTTATACACAAAAAAGAATCCTAAGAAGTTAGATCTTGTTATAGAATTGCTAAGATATACTAGGTCAGTGAAATAATGAATACTATTTTTCTATTAGCAAATTTGCTTAACATAATCTCAAGTTGGAGAAGGAATTCAGAGTGGGATCTGTTCTCCTGTTAGCATTCCCATGCCTTTTAGCTAGCTTCTCCATTTTACAAAATGCAGTTATCTGCTCCTGAGTCTTTAATAGGCATCTCTGCCTTGGACTAAGCACCTGAACCTTTGAATCTGACAGATTATCAGTGGGTATGGATAATCTAGGTCCTGAGGACTTGCTGGTTCTATAAAAGCCAGAATGGGGTCACTGGCTTCAGCAGTGCTAGAATCTCTACAAACAGGACTGCTGCTACCAGGTGCCTCTGGCTCCACTCCTTCCCCATCCTTCTCATCCTAGTTTTCCTCCAGTGGGGTCATAACAACCTATGATAGCATTTCTTGTCACATTCTCTGCACAAGTAGGGAACCTGGGATTCTTCACATAAGGTTGATCGGTGGTGCACAGCAGTCCCAAACTACAAAATCAATGCTGGGGGGTCCTGGAGTTTAACATTTCTTGTTATCCTTTTTACTAAAGGGACTTGAAAGCAGATTTTTTTTTAAATTCATGCTGTTCTGCTAGAAAACAAGAATGCTACCTAGCTGCTGCTATTATTACCATTATTATTTTATTCATAACATAACCATTTTATGCATAACTTGACTTTCACATTCATAATCCATTGAAAAGATGACATGTGATATACAGTTCCTGGGATAGAATGGTAAGTGCAGGTTTCAGTGCTGTGTACAACTGCATTTTTCAAAGTCTTGTGTATATTCTTTAGCTTGCATAGAAGGGAACCATTTTGATAAAAATATTGTATATCTGAAATGCCAATAAATAATTTGAATTGCTTCTATTGCTTTGTAATACAGAATCCTGGAGAGTTTGGAAACTCAGGTGGTGAATCTTCAGAAGAGGACTGTTCTGATGCGACTGTAAGAACCAGTAAAGTCTGCAGCTCTGCAACCTTGTAATGATAAATCTCTTTTACCTTCATTAATCTGATCAACTGGCATTTTGATTCCACTCAGAAAAAAACTTTTTTCATTCCATCTCTGAGAAGTTGCTTCTCCACCCCATCAACTAAATGATCTGCAATAACTTGAATCTTTGGAGAAATGTTCTGATGAATTGGTTTCTCAATGAGCATTTCAATCACGAATGGCAGGGATGTATTTTATTGAATAATTGAACTATTGTATCATATTTTTGGCATTTTAACACTTTTTACTGAGTAAGATGATCAGTATCCATAGACAAAATAATTGGTTACAAAAATGGAGAGAAGTCTGAAACAGAATTTTTTTGAACCTTAGACAGCATATATAGACAGGATAGGATTTGATGTTGCTACTTGGACATAGACTAGGCCATATGGCTCTGAAGGGCTGACAGTTTAAAAACACAGCAACTTAATTGATCTCAGTAAAGCAGTGCATGAGATAATTTGTGAGCAAAAAGTCATCTGTATAACCAGTGTAACTTTCAACAGAAAGTATTCACATTCCTGGGAAACAGTATCTGAGATGCTGTTCCCCAGCATATGAAAATGAAAACTAATTGTTTTCATTTTTTAATGTATTGTTAGTTCATTGCAACATCTTACAACTGCATTTACAGCTTCTCTCCAGCATTTTTTATCATCACTATGCTACTGTAAGGACAGCAGATAAAGTATTGAAAGGTTGATGGATAGATGTACATGCTGTTTTGCTCTGTTAGCTTGTTCTCTTTATAGTTTGCCTTTTATTTGGCTCCTTCAATTAAAAACAAATGTATCAAATTAATGCTGAAGAACTCACATGCCATGGAAGATATATTCTACATATCCTGAAGACTTTCCTGAAAGAAGAAATTAAAATTTTTCCCACTACAGCTGGAATGGTTGTGTGTGGACCAAGCTAGAGGAATAGTCCAGCCTGGACCACACAATTGGTCTTTCCACTGTTTGACTAATATGGTTTGGATAGGGGAGTACTGGTCACTTATCAGGCTTGATGGAAAGTTACAGAACTTTTTAAAAAGTGGCAATTAGTGAGAATGCTCTTTGTGTCGGGTTTGAAGGAATCTTAAGTCATAATTCTATTGTGGATTCTGGACTAGTACTCCTTTTTCTTTTTTGCAAATACAGTTTACTATTCACTGTATTTCTTATAATTGAAATGTTCAAGAAGAGCAAAACAAGCAACACTAAAAATCTGGTTTTAGAATCAAAGTGTTAATCATAATCTTTGCTTCTCATCATGTTGTCTAAAGAATGACATTGAGAAAGAAAGTCTGTTTGCAAGTGTAGCAGGATTTAAGATAGTGAGTAGCAATTGCACCCTTCACCCCATCTGCAGAATGAAAGGCAAGCATGGGTTGATATTGTGCTGCTGTTTGTTTACATTTGATTTGATATGATATGATTTTTTAAAATTAATAGCCTAGTGACAAAATGTAGGAAAATTCTTTACTAATATTGAAGAACAGTATTGTATGAGTTAAATTATTCCATACTTTCAAAATTCTGTAGCTGGACTACATGAATCATAAATTATGTCATTATTTATTATAATTTCTGTAGATTAATGATAGGACTTGTTGCACTGCAACATGTCAGTCCTACTTCAGCTATGCTGTGGCCTGTACCCCAGGAGGAAAAGTAACCAAAGTGTTTTACATATAATGCAATTTAATAATCTTGTATAGGCCACACTGGTTTTGCTAAATTGCAGCAGTCTGTGGGAAACAAACATGGCATAGTCTGATAAAAATTGCATGTGCCGTGAATATAAAATATGTAAGAAACAAATTATATGATGCTTCAGCATGCATTAGGTTCCCTGTTGCAGTCCATAACACTGTGAGATATTATCAGATTGAAATATAAAAGAAAACAGACCTGCTCACTTGAAGTGGCATCTCCTGCTAAAATCAGAGATTCCTCAAGCTTTATATCAAACTGAACTGAGTTCTGCCTATTCTGAACAAAATTATTTCTGGCATCTCATGTATTCTTTGCCTATTTTCCTGGGGAGGAACTACTTTTTTAAGAGGAACCTATATGCTGTTGATACCACACTCCCCATAAATGCCATTCCAACTATATATGGGCCAAACTGTGGAGGAAAACTGCTGCATCTGCCAAGTTTATGGCAGATCCCTAATTCAGACATGTTATTTGGTGCTTGATCTTGGCATTTTTAAAACTGGCAGGAACAACTATCATGCAGGCTTCATGTATTTCTCTGTTGAAGTTCACTCAGTCTTTCATAAACACTCTGGAAAACCTGTCTTATTAACATAGTAGCACTTTATGTGTCTGCAATATAGGGTTAATCTCTGAACCAACAAATATCTGCTTTGCAAGTAGTGTTAGCAATAAAGACACATCCACCCTATGGTTTCAGGTTGGAGTTTAACAGCCCATGGATAGCTATGTCTTTGGAAAAGTTCCTTTTTTAAAAAATAGCAAGATGAGAGAATGTGTCAGGATTGACAAAATGCTGCATGCTTTTCCCCTGATACGAAGCATTTGGGATTGTTATCTCAGTGCTAACTTTGCCCCACTATTTCTTCTCTGAGGAGTTCCATAGTAATGCCTTGCCACCCTGGACAAAGAATACAGTAGTGTAGAACTATCAACTTGGCAGGCAAAAATTATCTGGGATCTTCGGTAAAGGGTTTTCTTGTTATCCTTTAATTGCAGGTATTGAGCCTGGAATCTTATGCATGCAAAGCATGTGTTTTACCAATAAAGTAGTTTCTCCCCAGAAGAAGTCTCTACATTAGTGGAGAATGCGTCTGATTTAATTATCTTTGTTGTGTCTGGTAGACATTGGTTGTTTCTTTTTAGTATTTGCACTTATCCTGGATCTGCAGATGACACGCTGCACAATGTAATTCTTCAAGAGACTATTTTATGATTCAAGAAATAATTAGGATGAGTATCCAGTAGGGTTTTCAAGGTCTTACACTCTCCTGCTAATGTATATCCTGTGTTTCTCATTACATCGAAGAGAAAAAGTGTTTTAACTTGCCCATACCCAAAGAGCACTACTTATTAGGAGACGTTGGTTTAAGAAGCAGAATGATATGGGGGGTCCTAAGAATGTGGTGTAATACCCAGCAGCTTGTTTTAGGTGTGTCTAACATTTGTTACTAATCAGTTTTCAAACATTCCAAATAACTAGATATTCACGGTTTAAGTTATTGAATACAACGAAAGGATTCCTCTAGATACCCTTTTTATCAAATTATACTGAAAAGTTTGTTCAGTTGTGAACAAGTAGAAAAAGAAGTTTGAAACTGAAATTTTAATCATAACAAGTATAATCACCTCATCTTTTCCAGTTCAGTTTTACAATTTATCAGTTCTAACTTCAGGGCATTCCCGAAAGCGCAAATTTATTTTTTGCAAATTACAAATATTTTAAAAAATATCTCACAATTGCAAAAGGATCCAAATTAGGTAGTGTTATTGCTGATAATAGTTAAACTGACAGCTGGGCTACATGTTATAATCATTGTGGGCATACAGTCAATACAATAAGTTCTCCTACTATAAAGTTAGGTATATATACCATATGTGATGATGTTTTGAGATACTAAGGAAGAAAGATAGCACATCATGCAATAGTTATTTTCAATAATGATGTAGCCTGGCTCTAAACAGACACATTGCTTGTTGTGTTATTACAACAGTGCTGTACATGTTCTGCTTCAAGGAGGATAGAATTACTAATTTTAAACTTTGGATGTTGACAAATCTACTTTAAATATTGGTCCAACATATATAAATAGTTGATGTTCTAGAATATGCTGGTTACATTTTTAAGGCTTTCTTTTAAATGTGAGGATTAAACATTTTTTAATGTGGAAACATTCTCAGGTGACTTTGGGCATTTTGAAAAGCCTGCTCTATTCTGCAGGTCCAATAAAAAAAGTACTATTTTTGTTTCTGGAACAGTGCTCCACAGCACTAAACATTAAGAGATGCGATCAGAACTATGGGAACTGATACTAAGAAACAGAGAATATTAACTCTCCTCTTTCCTTGGAAGCAAGTGTTGTGTTTACTGGAAGAAAAGGGAGCCACCATGTTGTTTCACATATTATATTGAGTTTTCATTCATAGAGCCAGCTAGCACAAGAAATGGTGCAGTCTTGTAATAGGAAAGGGAAATAGTACTGTTTTTGTATTAATTCTTTGATAGAATCTTACAGATTACAAAGGAATAGCAGAATCTAGATTTAGTTCTTAGATTAAACTTTTCAAACCAAAAGCCATAAATCAAATCATTTAATTTAGTTTATGACACAGTATTGCCATGTGTGAATTAGTGTGTTTTCTTGCTGTGTTATGACTGTTCTGTACAAGGGCATTACAATATTGTAACTACCTGATTAAGGGGTTGACAGTAGCACAGCATAAGAATAAGCAATGCAAACCAGAGATAGCTTTTGATTGAAAAGGCTTCTTTGGCATATTTTCATGATTCTTATACTGTATTCTTACTTGCTGGGTCCAATATGGTAGTCGGTATGTTGGCTAATGGTTCGTGGAAATTATTACGTTTATATGTCATACAAAATTATAATTTTATCTTCTGTGCTGTCTTTCTCCCTACTTTGAGGCAAACTTGATTTCTTTTTGTATTGAACAGTGTATAACAATTGGGAACAAATCTGACTATCAAATAGATGCATGGAATAAAAGCCAGTGTACCTCATCATGTGTTTACAGGCTCATATGTCAAGTGTGTGTGCAGCTTCAATTTTGAACATAAGTGTATGACTCAAAAAGTATAGTTGTGCCTACTCAAAATGATCCCTTTTTCTTTACACTACAGTTATAGTTTTCAAGCTGTAAGGAGACAGTTTGCTGACAAACTGCCTGCCTGTCTGTCTGTCAGCATATTCTGTATAGTAAGTGCCATATAAATGCAGGCCTTGACATTTCAAACTTTCACCTCGGTTAAGTGTGTCTGTTGCTACTAAAGGACAACATGGATGTGAATATAATTCTTGTTCCTCTCTATAGCCCCTCTTGTAAGGAGTATTTATTATAATATCAGCCTACTAATGCTGTCTCCTGAGGATACACCGAGAATACCAAAATGTCAGCCTTACAACATAATATAGATGGAGCTAAATTAAGCCTTCTGCATGCTGGCCTGCTGTTTCTTGCTGAAGGAAAAGATAAGCACCTGGAAATGAAGTCTGAGCGGTGTTTTTTCTTCATTATTTGGCATGTACAGTTGAAAGGAGGTAGCCGATGAAGGCCTGGTTATAACAAAACACCAGCATATATATACTGTCTCATATGGCATTATGTGAAGGCATTTCATCAAACTACCAACTGTTTTCACTACCATTTATCCAATAAATATGTCTATAAAGTAAACAGGCTACATGAATAGTTTTCACTACCTTTTACCTGGCAAGAAGTATTATTAAAAAAGAAAAAATAGGGTGCTTAAGACAACTGCTGCTCAGACTAATGCAAATCACTGTTCCTCTCAGTTACAACTTGCCACAGTATATTTGTCAGATCTTCTTTTATTACTGTTTTTTTGGCATACAGCATGTACAAAGAATCAGTAGCTGCCATCCTGAGAAGTTTGCTATGAAGGCTGACATATTTAATACAACACTAACACTTGGTTAGAGGATAGCAGAGACCCACCTCAAATAAACTAGAGGAATTTTCACAGAAAATCCAATAGCTGATACTGAAACTTCTGCTTGCTTTGATTTCTGAAATGGCAAGCTGAGGTCACTGCAGACATCAGGCAAAAAAGGACTTGTCTTACCTTTTTTGTTAACATCTAGTCTTCTATGCAATTCTTTTTTCCAATGCAGAAAGGACCAAACAAGGCTCTTTCCTGCTTTCTGAAGCTGCAGCCTGACCCAGAGACAAGTTTCTTATTGAGCAAGACCAAGGCCATTTTCAAACAGGAAATTCAGAGGAAAATGGCAAAATGGTAGCTGTTAACTAACACTTGGATTAAGAACAATGGCCACATTCTTAAGAGGATTTTCCCAGCTCTGAAACGTTGGACTGAACAAACTAGCCATATAACAATTTCAATTATTATATTCAAAGTATGTTCTTTTCTGCTCAATACAACGTAATTTTGTAAAGGTAAAGATTTTGCTTTGAAATCTGAAGAATGCAATTTTCCATGAGGCATATTACTACCAAGAACATTATAGTATTTCAACAAGTATTTAACATGAAGTCTTCTAGATTTCCCACAGTCACTTCATGTTAACTTATACTGGAAATCATAAAGAAAAGAAGATATTTATTAAACATTTTACTATTTGGAAAGACAAGATAAGCCATTCCTGCATGTCTGCAGTTGTAAGACTTTTCTTCTTTGTGATGTCCCAACAAATGAAAAGGAAATAATACAAAATTTAACTGCATTTCTTGAGGAAACACAATTCATGTATCAGTGCCATTATTCAGTCAAATCAATACGTGGTCCAGATACTGCATTTCAACTGCTTCATGTGCAACCACTTGCTGTTCATCTAGCAAGCAATTTCAGGCTTACTTCCTCACCGATGCTAAGATTTAGATTTCCTTAAAATTTATAGCCTCTAATACCTCAAATCAGTGAATGCAAGTCCATTTGGTCCCCCAAATTCTGGATTCTGGATAAATTGGATCACAAGTAACTATAAAGTGGGACATACCAGTCTCAGCTCTTTTTTTAAAACAGTATTTTTAAAAGACTCATCTTTATACATTTCCAAAAGAAGATGCCTAAGGTAGTGGTAAGGAATCCAAAGTTCAATGACAACAGAACTGCTGGTTCAAAAAAATTTGTTCAATTCTCCCTTAAATAGAATTCCACAGTATTTGACATCTATTCATGGGTCGCCTATTCAGTTGTATCTTCTTCCATTCAGCAAGTGAATTTTCTGCTAACTTTTGTCTACTTTGAGATGTTCCTGACTGAATTTCTTAATAAGAGTCCCAGGAATTAATGCCATCATGGCTATAGCCAACATCTTGGATAAATTACTCCAGGAGAAAATGTTATCCAGGGAAGATATCTGTGAAAGTACTGAGCCTGTCTGGACACAGATAAAATTATAGGGAGTCAGTCCTGTAAGAGAAACAGGAGAATTCTACGATTAGGAAAACGTCTATATCTTATAAACTCTGGATAAGTTCTAGCCTGCAAAAAGAAAAAAGGCTTGAATATGCAAATGGCGGGGGGGGGAACAGATCTGAGCATCAAAGGAAAAAAGCCATAAAAGAAATTTACAAGGGTCAGTGGAGAAAATAAAGTACAGTGGTACCTCGGGATACGAACTTAATCCGTTCCGTGAC